TTTTCACATGTAAGAACAGCAACATGGCAGTTATAACAGCTGAATGTTGCTGTAAATATTTTTGACAAAGATAGAAGATGAGAAAGTATGACCACCATAAATAAGCCAAACTCAGCAGCAGTACTATCTGTCAAAAGAACATGAATTATTAATCACTGTAACAAATGTACATTCACCATACGTTCTGTGTTTTGAGCACCATATGAAGCTGTCAGAAATATAGAAAGCTAATCTTAACAAGCTCGAAAATTGTGTTTCATATTGGAATACACATATCAACATACGTTCTTTGCAATGTGAATTTAATGGTATTAAAACACCTTGTTCAATAGTTCCCACTTAAGATATCAGATTGCAGCACTTCACAGAAAAAAAAGAAATGTCTTGCTAGAACTGGATCCATCGATTATGGCCGCTGACTTTGTAGGGCCAGATCTCGTCACGCCGTTACAGTACGTCATGCTTAGTCACGCATTATCACGCTTTATAAATCTTCGTCACGTTTCAACACATCGTGATCGCTTGTCATTAGGCCAAAGCAGGTCACGCCTGGTCACGCTTTGGCACACGTGGCCGCTAATTCACGCTTCGCCATGCTTACTTTAATTTACGTAAGGCTTGGTTAATTTTACTTACTTTGCAATACGTTACATGAAGTTTCGACAGTTTAAATTAGATTAGGATTGGTTGGATTAGGTTATCTTTGGTTAGGTTAGGTTAGGTAGGGTTAGGTTATGTTATGTCAGGTTAGGTTTGGTTTTGTTAGGTTAGGTTAGGTTGTTTGTTTAGTGGATTTTGTTAAGTTAGGTGACGTTTGAAAATTTTTGTGACGTTTTAACACATATTGCCACAATTCGTAACGCCGTTACAGTACGTAAAGCCTAGTCACACTGTGTCACGCTTGGTGACGCTTGGTCACATTTTGAAATTATTCGTCACGTTTCAGGTTAGGTTGTTACACCTCGTCACGCCGTTACAGTACGTCACGCGTATTTACGCTTTTAAAACTTTGGCGATGTTTTAACACTTAAGGTGTCCTCTCGCCACGCTTTCAAAGGATATCACGCCTAGTCACTCTTTGTCACTAATATTTATGATATATATAATTGAAGATATTGGAGTGGTCGGCAGCAGCGGTAGTGATGAATCGAGTGGTATGTCAGAAAGCGATGGTTTGTGAGGGGTGGAATTGTTGGAAGACGACCGAAGTGTTGTGAAGATAAAATTATCTAATACCGTCTGCAATGTTAATTTTCTGGTGATGTGTATTTTAGTGAAATCGACTTTACTCAGTTACATACCGTGGTGATATATTGTTTGTAGTGTACGCGGCCAGCTGCCATCCCTTCCAGCAATCTTCTGGTATGTGACTCGCTCCTAGTTTCCAATTCACAATGTTCAGCGGCCAGAAACGCTGGAACGCAGTATACCGATCGTCGTGTGTTGTGGTTACGAGGGGAACCTAGTGTGGTCTACACTTTACAGATGGCACCGCGATTGCTTTTCAAAGACTCAGATGCGTGAGCGCGGGGAGTCAGTTTATTTATGAATAACGAGAATTAATTTTGAATTAGTACCTGACGTTCGAGAATGTGTTCGAAGTGCAAAGACGGTGGACACGTGAATTTGAGACCATTCCTCCAACACGAATAACGATTACGATAATTCGATATTAATTTGAGACGTACGATACTGTGAACATGTGTAAGCAGCGATCTAGTAGACCGTGCACATCAACGAATGACACCTCTGCTATGGCGTTACAGCAATTCACACGATCGTCGAAGAAATCTTTAAGGCAATGCGCTGAGATCAGGATTTGTGGTGCCAACGGATTGCATCCAGTGTCTGAAGAATATTCAAACCACAGGCATGTTTCATGTCGACTAGGCGATGAATTTACCAGGACTTTCAGTTTGGTGTGGTGCATCGTCTAGTATTGTGTGACCGTTCTTGTTTGGACAAACCTCAACATGCTTCAAGAATCCACTGTTCCAGCCTTTCAGCAGCAGAATGGAGATGGGGATATGTATTATCAATAAGACGGGCACCTCCCCATTACCATCATGATGTCAGGACCTATGTTGACATCACTTTTCCCGACCGATGGATAGGACGTAGAGCATCTGTTGAGTACAGCGTTTATAGTGGTTTAGTTCATTGAAGTCTTTATTTCATTCGTTGAATGTGTGTACACTTTTTCGGACGTTCTGTTTATGTTTTAGCCATATACAGAATGCAAACAGGAGATTTAGAGGAATTCATGGGTAAGTTAGACTGCGTTATAAACTATCGTTATATTCCCACAGCTGAATTTATCATCTATGGTGACATAAATACCGATTTTCTTACCGAAGTCACCATAAACAATGCCCGGCTTCCCTGATCGTAACATTTGATCTCACTTGGGGCAGTGTGTGCAGAGGTATGGCAATGATATGAAAATAAATGTGCTCAAGGAAAGGAAAGAATAAGTAAGTTTCATTTAACCTGCTGCCCAATAATTTTAGTACTCTTACAATATTTAATAATTTTAATCTCTGTGCTCTTCAATATTGCCATGCCACTTCATCAGTGGTACTTGAAAAATATGTGGAAAACAGATCCCAGTATTCTGAAATGGACTTTCGACCCTGCACACTTTCTTTGGCACCAACATCCTGATAACCACGAATTGTTAAAAGTATTCATAAAATCATAGCCATCTCTCTGTTGTACAAAATTATGTAAGATACAACAGACCTTTACAATTTCAACTGCAAATTCAGTATCGATGTAGCAAGGTCTGTGCCACATGTTTGACAAAATGATAAAAATGCACATTGATGTGCTCGCAAAAGACAATAGTTGAATATTATTATCTTCTCAGGCATTAAGTTTCTTGCTTCATATGGTCAAAGTAAATTTGTCAACATACCAAATGCTTCATCCCCAACAAACTTGTATGGGACAGGTACATTGATGCCAGACAAGAGATTATGTCATGGTAAACTAAGCAATTTCTTTCTTTTTTCCCCACAGCATTGAATTTTTGAAAATCTTGGAGTAGGAATCTTTTCTATGTCAACCAATGTCAACAATTATGACACAGGAATTGGAAACTGCTACAGCCAGAAGACCAACAGAAAAGTAATTTTTATAATTACAGTACATGCCCACTGATCTTAAAACTCTAACATTTTTTCTGTCAATAGCACTGATACAGTGGGGGAACTGCACTCATTTTTCAAAATCTGTTGTAATTTCTAGATTATGTCATGGTAAACTAAGCAATTTCTTTCTTTTTTCCCCACAGCATTGAATTTTTGAAAATCTTGGAGTAGGAATCTTTTCTATGTCAACCAATGTCAACAATTATGACACAGGAATTGGAAACTGCTACAGCCAGAAGACCAACAGAAAAGTAATTTTTATAATTACAGTACATGCCCACTGATCTTAAAACTCTAACATTTTTTCTGTCAATAGCACTGATACAGTGGGGGAACTGCACTCATTTTTCAAAATCTGTTGTAATTTCTTACAATTTTTCTTTACTTGGTCTCGGCTGCAAGGAATTAATCCTTCGTATCACCTCAAATGTGGATAATTACAGTACATGGATCCACTGCCCACTGATCTTAAAACTCTAACATTTTTTCTGTCAATAGCACTGATACAGTGGCGGAACTGCACTCATTTTTCAAAATCTGTTGCAGTTTCGTACAATTTTTCTTTACTTGGTCTCGGCTGCAAGGAAGCAATCCTTCATATCACCTCAAATGTGGTTACATAGTTTTTGCATTGTTTAATTAGCTGTGGAAATCTCGATTATGTCCGGGTAGTGTATATCGATAATTGAAAAAATAAAGTAGAAATTATATGTACATTGTAGTACGCTATCCCATGTTTGGACTTAATTTTTCTTTACTTGGTCTCGGCTGCAAGGAAGCAATCCTTCATATCACCTCAAATGTGGTTACATAGTTTTTGCATTGTTTAATTAGCTGTGGAAATTTCGATTATGTCCGGGTAGTGTATATCCGCCAAACTGGAACCAGAACTGAGATAACTGAAAAAATAAAGTAGGAATTATATGTACATTATAGTACGCTATCCCATGTTTGGACTTGTTTATTTCAGTTCAGATCTTGTAATTTTTGTAGATTGCGGCCTACACTTAAAGTGGAGACACACATTCTCCGTACCCTTTGCCTAAGAGACTAAGTGAGCAAAAGGTAATTTGAAGAAAAATTATAACTTCTAGAAACACACAAGACCTACAATCCAAGACATAGAACAATAACAATGAATATTTTTCATTTCATTTATGCATATAATAAAAACTTCAGATACAGACCAAAAATTACAATTCAGGATGGTGACTATGCAGCTTTTGAATGATGTTTCAAGATATTGACAGTTATTTTATGTCAGACGTGGACGATTTAACCGTATTCTCCAAGTCCTACGAATAAACGAACAACATTTGTGGATAGTCCTCGACAAGTCGATGTCTGGAGGGGCCATAATTAACTTGGAAAAATGCAATTTTTTTTTACGTGAATATAAAGCTCTCTGTTAAGTTACTGACCAGAACAGTGTATCCCTGGACCCTGACTGCATTGCCCCACTGACAAAATTTCCGGTATCCCACACCTAGCAACAACAGATAAAGTTCCTGGACACTTGCAATGAACATCATTGGTTCGTTGTCAGTCACAATCATAACGTAGACCCTATCCTAACGCTTCTAAATATGGTCAGTCAACATTTTATTGTCAAATGGAAGCAGCGGTCAAGGATTGTGAAGTGCTTTGCGCAGAAGGAAACTTCTTTACCCCGTTAACCAGGGCTATAAAGGCGTTATGCATTAAATTATCAGTTGTACTCATAACAGTGTGAAATATATTCACCCTGTGTCAAGAACTCGCAGTATAATCACTGATTACATTGTGTTGTATTGAAAACTCTGGCTTTGAAAGTTTAGGTTGCAGACAAACAAAATTTCCTGGCTTCAGGTGTTGAACTTGCATGGAGATGTCATTCTGGTGAGATATTCAAGAGGGACTGTAATATTTGCATCTGCTCAGCAGATGGAATTCCAGATCATGCATCCTGTACCTTTTACCTTTGCAGAAGAAATAAACAAGGTATGACAGTTTTTTAAGTGACATGGGGCATGTGGAAATATGTTTTACAATATGATTTGTGTTGCTCAGATGTTAAAAATTGCGATAATCAAGGCATGTGTACTGAATACTTTGTTGCACGCTCCCGTCAGTGAGTGCACAACAGAGGATCGGATTTGCTACCCAGCAGACCTGAGGATGAGAGCAGAGATTGTTCTTGAAACGTTGGCAGAATATATGGTTTGTTCACCATTCAGCCACTCTCATTAACTTCAGTCGCTGCAAAAGCTTCACTTTATACACAAGGAATAAACATTATGAGATGTTGCAGGTTCAACACCAAGTTGCAGACAGATGAACTGTGAAAAATGAACATGAGATAGATGCTGAGAAACTTACAGGCATGCGCCATTGGAAACTTTTCAAAGAAAATTCCTTTAATGTATCGTTGAGAGCTGACCACAAATAAGCATGGCAGTGAATAGGAAATTTACAGATAGACAGTATGTCACGTTTGTGAACATATTAAATAAAATGTATTTTGTTCCTTTCATGCAATGATTGTCTTGTTTAAATGGACTTGGATGTTTGGACATACAACACAAACAAATTTAGTTTCTGGCAAAGGTAGTAACTTTTTGCTTAGATGATTTATGGACTTACTAGTTATATTGGTACGGATGTAGGACTCTGTAATGTCACTATCAATATTGAAGAATCTGGCTGTGAAGTTTTGCATCCCAGGCAAACAAAATGTTTCTGAAGATTTCTGTCTTCTGGGTTGTTGCGCTGTGTAGTCTGGCCGATGTTAACCAACGTTTCAGCGGTCATACTGCCTCCGTCATCAGAGTATGAAGATTTCTGTCTTCTCGGTTGTTGCGCTGTGTAGTCTGGCCGATGTTAACCAACGTTTCAGCGGTCATACTGCCTCCGTCATCAGAGTATGAAGATTTCTGTCTTCTCGGTTGTTGCGCTGTGTAGTCTGGCCGATGTTAACCAACGTTTCAGCGGTCATACTGCCTCCGTCATCAGAGTATGAAGATTTCTGTCTTCTCGGTTGTTGCGCTGTGTAGTCTGGCCGATGTTAACCAACGTTTCAGCGGTCATACTGCCTCCGTCATCAGAGTATGAAGATTTCTGTCTTCTCGGTTGTTGCGCTGTGTAGTCTGGCCGATGTTAACCAACGTTTCAGCGGTCATACTGCCTCCGTCATCAGAGTATGAAGATTTCTGTCTTCTCGGTTGTTGCGCTGTGTAGTCTGGCCGATGTTAACCAACGTTTCAGCGGTCATACTGCCTCCGTCATCAGAGTATGAAGATTTCTGTCTTCTCGGTTGTTGCGCTGTGTAGTCTGGCCGATGTTAACCAACGTTTCAGCGGTCATACTGCCTCCGTCATCAGAGTATGAAGATTTCTGTCTTCTCGGTTGTTGCGCTGTGTAGTCTGGCCGATGTTAACCAACGTTTCAGCGGTCATACTGCCTCCGTCATCAGAGTATGAAGATTTCTGTCTTCTCGGTTGTTGCGCTGTGTAGTCTGGCCGATGTTAACCAACGTTTCAGCGGTCATACTGCCTCCGTCATCAGGGCGGTGATGTTTCTGGTTCTAATAACTATCATTTATGGTCTAGGTGTTGAACTCGCACGGAGATGTCATTCTGGTGAGATATTCATGAGAGACTGCAATATTTGCATCTGCCCAGCAAATGGAATTGCGGATCTTGCATCCTGTACACTTCACTATTGTAGGAGAAATGAAGAAGGTACTATAAAGATACAGTTTCTGACATTTTCCCCACTCCCTGTAGGCATGTCTATGCATTCACAAGTGATGTGTTCCTGAGGTAATTGTGAAAAGCAGATTTTTTGAATGAGATTGTGGTTAATGATAAATACTTTTGCATCTACATTACTAATATTACATATCTTACTTTTGAGTGTGCAGGTAATACAAAAGAAAGAAGGAAGTAAACATTATGAGATGTTGCAGGTACAACACCAAGGTACAGACAGACGAATTGTGACATGGGCTAGATGCTTAGAGACTTGGAAACTTGCAACACTGTATAGTTTTCAGTAAAAATTATCAATAACTTGACCAAAAATAAGAAAATCTGTGAATAGGAAATTTACAGGTTCGGAGGGATGGCCGAGACTTTTATGAACATGTTAAATAAATGCTAGGGTACCTGCAAGAATCTTTGAATGACGTTGAGAGTGGGAGTGAATGTAAAATTGAAGGTGACCACAGCATGAAATGTGCTGAGGTTGAGTGACAATTTCAAGAAGTTAAACCATTGCACCTCCCTACCTCAGACATTCGTCAACCGCTGTTTGTGAAGAATCCTAAACATTCATTGGCCAGAAGCGATTTCCAACCAAGAACTCTGGACAAGGACAGAGGAAATTGAGGTATCCATGCAGATAAAGCGGCGGAAGTGGATTGGGCACACGCTGAGGAAGGGGAATGAAGCCATTGAGAGAGAGGTCTTGGACTGGAACCCGTAGGGGAGAAGGAAAGAGGGAGGCCCAGACTGACGTGGCGAAGATCAGTCCACGCTGAGGCATTGGAAGTTAAAAAGAGCTGGAACGAAGTAAAGAGGATGGCCATCAGTAGAACCAGGGAGCGGTGTTTTGTCCCATGAGGGACAACAGGAATTGATGATGATGACCATGTAGTCTGATGATGGAGGCAGCAAGGACCTATGAAACGTCAGTAAACTTATACCAGATTACTCGGCGCAACAACCCAGAAGTCAGCCATCTTCAAATAGTTACTTGTAAGAGAGTGATTTTGATATATATATGTCATATATTATATGTGGTGTTTAATATAAAATTCTCTTGCATGTCAAATAATAGTCTGTGGTCAGATAGGACTATTAAAATTGAAGTGGTCTTCCAGGTCACAGTGCTACATGGAACCCACGTCACTGGTTAAGGGTTAAAACATGTAATGTAACTGTCTGTGACATCTAACAGGATGTACGTGCAGCTACCCTCCATAATTTGATTCTGTGTTGTCAGTCTGAAACCTGAGGATGTGCCCCTGCATCATGTATTATTTAATCATAATCTTCCTTTAAAATAGTGTTTTTTGAGCACAAATTTGTGCAGGAAACTCTAGTATGCAAACTTTCTTTTGCAAGAAGACACTGGACACTCATCTCACCCAGTTCAAAAGAATTTTCTTTCTAACATATGTTAGTTGGAGGAATAAAAGTAGTGAGGGTCTACATAACATAATTTTCTCAACTTTTCTGTTATTACACATATCTTAGTTCCAAATATTCTCACAAAGTATCGTATTCCTGTTTTAGCCAGTGCTGTTAGGAGGTGTATACCTGGATCAGTTTACAAGAAGGGTTGTAAAATGTGCCAGTGTTCAAAGAATGGCAAAACTGAAGTTTGCACTTTGAATTCTTGTTGAAATGATGTTCTGGAACCACTTCCTATGAAGATTAATAGTAAGTAGAATTCATTCTGAATTTTTCATGTGTAACTTTGAGGGTTCATCACTGTTTACATAAATTCTTACCAATTAACCAATTCTGAGTCAGCACACACATTACCAAAACCTAATGTAATTCAATATTTTTCTCTCAATCCTCTGTTTTTTAGTCTTCCAACATTATTTCCTCTCATATTTCTGTATGTGTTCTTGCACTGAAAGCAGTTACAGTATAACTATTTCATATAACGTTTAGGAAGTGCCACTACTGTGTTTATTTTAGGTATATTTTATGTTTCGATGTTATAGTTTGTGCTCTTTTGATGGTTATTTTGTGACCAGATTATTTAATTCAGCACTTACGTCAAATCTGAACTCTCATTCTGTAATTCTTGTTACTTCCAACAGAGTTGTTTATTCAAGTCTTAGTAGGGCAAGGTGCCTAGTATAAAACCCGTACTTAATGCTTGTTCATCCTGTTTTCAGAATGTATGCTCCAGTGTTCATGCCTTGGCAGTATAATCGTTACATACGCAGCAGAGTAAATGCTTCTACATAACCAAAGAAGATTGAGTCGAGGCAGTATAACTGTTACATCTGACATGGATAAAATTCCACTGTCTAACTCTGAAGTATTTAAGTTATGGCAATATAATCATTACATTTGGTGTTTAGTAAAGATTCCACTAACTCAGAAATATTTTACTTATAACCATAACATCAGATGTGGAGAAAATGCCACTACTAACTCAGAAATGTACCCAAATTTAAGGTATGTGGCTTTAAGTTCATTTTTACAATGTAATTTAATCTGTTTAATATATTGGCAGTCATGAAAGACCAGCGTAATTGAGTCAACTTTAAGAACATTAACCAAATATATCTTTCAACAAGTTTCCCAAATGACAGTCTGTGTACATTTCCTTTGATCTCATTTGAATACACTGTTATAATGATGTTGAAATTGCCATTAGGAAATTAAAATGTTATAAATCTTCAGGTATCAACTCAGTTACCACAGAACTAATCCATGCAGATGGAAGGACACTGCACTCAGAGATATATAAGCTTATAGTCTCGATTTGGAACGTATAAATACTGTCACAACAGTGGAAAAAATCAGTTGTCCCTATCCACAAAACAGGTGACAGAACTGAGTGCAGTAACTTCTGAGGAATCTCTCTTTTGTCAACGTCATACAGAATTTTATTGAGTATTATTCTGGAACCGCCACGGTGGTCTAGCGGTCAGAACACTAGCCTTGTAAGCCTGGGGTCCCGGGTTCAATTCCCGGTGGTGCTCAAATTTATAACTTGTGTTGGGCAAGGCTGTGGTCTAGGCATCACGGAGTTTTCCTCCGGGGGCTTCCCCGGTTTCTCAGTGGCATCCCAACAATTACTCAACTCACACACAGAAGAAGGCAATGGCAAACCACTTCTGGATCATCTGCCAAGAATGTATATGAACAGATCCCAGTCCGAGAAAAGGATGGAAGGATCCTGTTCATATGGACCTGTCGTCAGACAGAATACTACAAATAAAATAATTCTGGAACAGTTAACGCCATTTATGAATAAAACTGTAAGGAACGATCAGTGTCAATTCCACTGTAATAGGTCAACATTGATTATATTTTTGCATTCAACAAATATTAGAGAAAAAGTGGTAGTATAATGGGTCAGTACACCAACTATTTGCGGACTTTCAGAAGTCATATGACTCAGAAGAGAGGTGCTGTATGGATTTTGATTGAGTTTGAAATGAAGATGTGTATGGATGAGGTATCTAGTAGACTTCATATATATAACCTTCTGTTGGGACCATTTCCAGTGTACAATGACCTAAGATGGGGATGCTTTGTCTCCATTGCCTTTTAATTTTGCTCTAGAACATGTCATCAGGAAGGGCTCGAATTGAATGACATACACCAGGTACTTGCCTATGCTGATGATGTGAATATTCTGGGGGATGGTGTGGGTACCATAACCAAGAATGCAAAAACTCTCCTGCAGGCTAGCAAAGAAATAAGCCTAGAAGTACGAGGGTGAGTCAAATGAAAACCGTAAAACTGAGATAAAAATTCGAAATATCGCGCCATTGTCCTATAAGTTGGCAGACATGTTACCAATGCTATAAAGAGTATCCTATAGGTGGTAGTATAATGCAGACAAACATATCGCCATCACAGTGCCAATTTGAAAATGGCTGCTCCACTAGTTACGTGCACGAAAGAAGAACAACGTTCTGTAATTCGTTTTTTGATCAGTGAAGAATCTTGAAGAATCATCTTCGACCTGCAGTCAGATCAAAGCGACGTGGACTTTTGACTAGAGGTGTCCTTGACATGACAATGCTCGGCCCCACTCTGCCCGTGCAACAGTTGCAACAATCCAAGACTTGCACTTTGAGTGTCTTCCACATCCGCCATACTCACTAGACCTAGCCCCAAGTGATTACCACATGTTTGGGCCACTCAAAGAGGCGATGGGAGGAAAGAAGTTCCGTTCTGACGAAGAGATACAGCAGGCGGTGCATGAGTGGTTGCGCAGACAACCACAAGAATTTTTTTCTAGAGGAATCCATACACTTCGTAAACGCCGGAGGGCCTGTATTGAACGAAATGGAGACTATGTAGGAAAATGATATAGTTGTGTACCGCTTTCACTCAATAAATTAAATTTTAAAAAAAATTTACGGTTTTCACCCTCGTAATTACAGACAAAACTACATACACGGATGTAATACGTGATCAACATCAGCAAGAACTGCGGAATGTAAGTAACGCATCTTTTGAAAATATTTCAAAATTTAAGTATCTGGGAAGAAGAATAACAAATAGAAGCGAGGTCCATGATGAAATTAAGAGTACAATACATTCGGGGAACGCTTGCTTTTATGCAAATCAAAAACTGTTATCATCCTGTTTGCTATCCAAAACACTGAATATCAGGATATATAAAACAATAATTTTCCTGTTGCCTTGTATGGTTGTGAAACATTGTCTGTTACTTTGAAGGAAGAATGTGGATTACAAGTGTTTGAAAACAAGGTGCCCAAGAAATATTTGGTCCTAGGAAGAATGAAATAAGTGGGGGATTTAGAATATTACATAAGTAGGAGCTGCGTGAATTGTACGGGTCACCTAGCATAGTGAGGATAATGAAATATAGAAGGTTCCAATGGGCTGGACATGTGGCACATATAGTGGGAGGCAAGGGGTGCATGTAGAATTTTGGTAGGGAATCCTTCTGGAAAATGACCACTGGCCAGACCAAGAAGAAGATGGGATGATAATATGAAGATGGATCTGAGGGATGAAGGGTGAGATGGATAGAGTTGGCTCAGGATTGTGGCCGGTGGCAGGCTTTGGTGTTGAACATGCGGGTTCTGCTACCAGGGAGTTAGTTATGTTGTCCATGTACTTCCATTGTTAAGCTCAGTTATATTTATCATTTATATTCTTAAATATTTTCAGATTAATTGTTAAAGTGTTTTTATGTTATAAACTTGTCATTAATTTTGGCTCATGGCATGTTTTTGGTGGTGCTCAGATGTGTAAAACTCTGAAGAAGTAGTGTAGTAGTCACGTTATATAAATTCTTGTGACTGGAATAATGCCCATTTCAATCCCTTATACGAGCCAGAGAAGATTGTGTGCTGGCATGACAGCTGTGTCGTAGAGAAAGTAAGCCAAGCATCACAGTGTAGTTGATAGGGTTGCTGATTTGCATTTGTGATGTCCCAGGATATAATCTCGGCTTTAAGATAAGCTGACTAAAATGTTGTGTGGTTTTCATCAGTCCTTTGAGACAGTTGCTGGAGTTTTTAAGTGTTACCTTTGAAATATTACGTTCTTATGAAGCATAAGGTCTGCTGGGTCAGTTGCAGAAGGGAGAGTGCATTATCTTTTCTTTTTCAAAGGGCTGTGATATTATTTTATTTCTTACTGAGAAGCAGGTACAGCATAATTTTTATTTTCTTTATTCTCATAAAGTTACATTTTTATTCGGACCGGCGATACGGAATTCGCGCTGGTTCGAGTCTCGGGGGAGAAGAAATTTTCATATGAGATTTTCGACCAGTGTGTCAATCCAGCATCGTGAGGAAATTGGGGAGCTACAATGAGTAGCGTAATCCGGTCAAGAAAACTAGCGATGGTTGGGGGTTCGTCGTGCTGACCACACGTCGCCCTGTATCTGGTTGGATGATTGTTCACCTCTGCTTAGGCATGTGAACGTGAGGCCAGCAGTCAAGCTAGTCGGCTTTGGCTCTCTGGAGCCACGGATTTAATTTTTTTAATGTCTTAATGTAGTCGCCACGGTGGTCTAGCGGTTAGAACGCTGACCTTGTAATCCTGGGGTCTCGGGTTCGATTCCCGGCGGTGCCCGAATTTATAACTTGTGTTGGGCAAGGTTCCTCCGTGGCATCCCAACAATTACTCCATTCACACACAGAAGAAGGCAATGGCAAACCACTTCTGGATCATCTGCCAAGAACGTATATGAACAGGTCCCAGCCCGAGAAAAGGATGGAAGGATCCTGTTCATACGGACCTGTCGTCA